TGAGATTGAAGCTGTTTTCAATAATGGAGTCACATCATTTTCTCACATGCAGACTGGAAAATAAAAGATAAAATTAAATATCACCCCCTGCCCATTAGCATGACTACGGTAAAATCAAAACAAAACAAATAAAAGAACAAACAAAAAAATGAAACCCAGAGAGTAGCAAATACGGGTGAGGCAGGACAAGGAGAAAATGGAAGCCTGGTGCACTGTAGGTGGGAATGGAAAATGTCACTGAGGGGCTGTTATGCTTGAATTTGGGACCCCCAAAAGATCACCAAAGACCAAGATCAATGTAATCAGCAAAGAGGCGTTTATTGCGAGCTAGCTCCATCCTCCAAGTGCACACAGCAACTGGTGACATTGAGAGGCCCGGAGCAGGGTTTGCAGCAGTTTTAAACACTCTTTGGGGAAGGCAGGGACTCCACATACATCATAGCATCTCTTAGCAAATCATCACACACCGCGGGAAAATCATAAAACAACTCTAAAATGTGATTAGTACATTCACTGTTGGGAACAAGTTGGGTATGGGTGATTGGTTAGAACAGAGGGGGATTCGTTTGAATTGATTGGTTTAAGCCTCGAGGGGTGTACATGCTGAACTACATGGTTTCCCAACATGTTATCAGCCACCATAAACTACTGGGGGGTCACCTGGCATCTCAGGTATTTTCCCTGTCTCATGCTGATAGGTGGTTGCTAGGGGGTTGCTATGGGTCCTCACCTAGCCTGAGTCAGGGACACCTGGCGCTGCAGATCTCTCCTGTTATTTGTAGATAAACAACTCAGCAGGGTGGGTATGTGCCTAGGAGTGCTCTGTGCGTTTTTTCCAAGGACAAGGTTCATGCCCCCTTCCTTGGACAGACTTTGCTCTGAGGTAGAGGCTGGTTTCTCAAGGCAGAGAGAGGAGAGTGCAGGCATATGGGGGCGAGATGGCAGTTAGGAGGTGGGGCAGGGCCAGAACAAAGGAGCCTGGAGAGGGCCTTCCAATGAGGTCAACTTTCTGCTTGATGAAAGCAGTGGGGGATCCAACAGAAAAACTGACAGAAACGTGTGGACAGAGGAGGCACCTGTCAGTAATAGTGACGAGAGCGTGGAGGGTGGGGGGTGTGACAAGGAAAGGAGGGAATTCCAGAGATCATAAAAAGAACAGGCCAAAACTCTGCATGGACTCCCAGCCCTGGGGCCTTTTCTCTGTAGAGGAGCCTGTCTCTGTGGCTTTGGCAATAAACCTGCTGCTTGCTTGCTCTCTCTGTGTCCTGCTCTTCAATTCTTTGCTGAAGAGAGACAACAAACCCAGCACCCCTAGGCGGTCACAGTACAACTGTTATAGAAAACAGGATAGAGGTTCTTCTCTCAAAAAATTAACAACAGAAGAACCAGAATCTCCCTTCTGGGCATTTATCCAAAAGAACTGAAAGCCCAAACTTGCAGAGACATTCGCTCTCCCACGTCCACTGAAGCATTCGTTACCTATAATGATCAATGATAAGGAAACTACCTAAATGTCCACTGAATGAATGAAGAGTGGGATATTATTTGCCTTAGAAAATAGGGTGATCCTGTGCCACACAACACGGAGGAAGCTGGAGGGCAACATGCTCAGGGAAATAAGCCTTGACGTAGGGCAAATACTTGCAGGATCCTATTCAGATGAGGTAGCTAAAGTCCTCCAACTCAGGGAAGCAGAAAATGAAGTGGTGGTTGCCCGGGGCAAGGGTGGGGAAATAGGGTGTTCCCTTCCAAAGGCCTAGAGTTTTAGCCATGCAATTTTAAAAAGTTCTCAAAATCTTTTTTTTTTTAAATCACAATAAAAAAGGATAAAATACTTAGGAATCATGTTAATAAAAGAACTGCAAACCCTAAGCCCCCAAACCTGCAACACCTGCTTGAAAGAAATTAAAGAAAATGTAAATAAATGTTCATGTCCAGTACTGGAAAGTATGAAGTACTTAAAGGATTTCAACCAAACAGTAAACCTCGACTTTGGGGGAAGAACAAGAGTGGCAGAACAGACGATTGCCAGGCAGATGCCCACCTACCTACTGTGGCTCAGGTTCCCTCCAGGAGGGTCTGCCTGGGACCCAGCTCTCTGTGCTCTCATCAGATGACCCCTTTCTGCAGACCCTTCTTGCACCTGTGCACACAGCTGCAACTTCTTCTCTTGCTTGAAGTCACCATCTCCACACTAGACCTCGGTCAGGCCCCTTATTTATTTATATTTTAGACTCCTGAATGTAATTATTTTGGTCCCGACCTGAGTTCTAGAACCATCATATTCAACCAAAGGCCGATTGACACTTCCAAATGGAGGGGTTCTGGGAATCTCAAATGCAGCCTGAGAACTCCTGATTTCTCCCTGCCCAAACGGACCCCTCCCCATGGCTCACCCAGCAGTTCCAACCAAAGCCCTAAGGTCATTCTTATTGTGGAAAACAGCTTCCAAGTTCATGGACAGTTCATTTCTTAGGGCCACTTATCCTCCTTGCAAAACAGCACTGCTTCCAGTGAAAAGAAATCCTTCTGCTGTATTTCCGTTTTCTAAATGACACACTATGCCGGCCTAGGCCTTGCCAATCTCTCTTCTGGATTCATGAATCTGCCCTCATTTTCAAGGCTCATCTTAAAGGCCACCTGCACAGGCAAGCAGTTCTCAGCCAGACAGCCCAGCCCAGCCCCAAGCCACCGGTTCTGTTTTCTTCTGGGATTCTGCAGGCTCTAAGCTTCTCCTTTATCGTCTCCCAGAATAACATGGGCATGTCGACAGAGCCTCTGCTCTGCTCACAGATGTGTCCCCAGGGCCCAGCACAGCTCCTGGAGGTGGTGAATATCTATCTGGTCAACAATCTTGCAAGGACTGCTCCTAACTAAAGACTTCTGACTAAAAGGAGGCATCCAGCTGGTCTCTCCTCCTGCTCTATTGAGAAACTGATGTGACTCCATTTTTGAGAAACCAGCCTCTACCTCAGAGCAAAGCCTGTCCAAGGAGGGGGGCGTGACCCTTGTCCTTGGAAAGACCCACAGAGCACTCCTAGGCACATACTCACCCTGCTGAGTTGTTTGCAAATAACAGGAGAGATCTGCAGCTCCCGGTGTCTTTGACTCAGTTAGGCTAGGTGAGGACCCATAGCAACCGCCTAGCAACCACCAATCAGCATGAGACAGGGAAAATACCTGGGATGCCAGACAACCCCCCCCAACACCCCACAGTAGTTTATGGTGGTTGATAACATGTTGGGAAACCATGTAGTTTAGCACATACACCCCTCGTGGCCTAAAACAATCAGTTCAAAGGAATCCCCCTCTTGTACTAACCAATCACCCCTACCCAACTTGTTCCACCAGTGAATGTGCTTAATCAATGTTAAGAGTTGTTGTTTGGCTTTCCCAGTGTGAAATGATTTGCTGTGATGTTGTGACACATAGAGTATCTCCAAAAACCTATAAAAATCCTCACTGAACAAAGGACCAGGGTTCACTCCCTGGGACTGCTGCGTCGGGAACGTTTGTGAGTCCAGGCTCGAGCTTGCAATAAAGACTCTTGTGTGATTGCATCGGATTCGGCTCCTGAAGGTCTATTGGCATCCCTCGAATCTGGCATTACACTATCTCCACAGAGAGGTGTCTACAGTCACTGTTCCCACAGACCAAACCTGCTTGCCAGGCCCTGTGCAAGGCACTGGGTTACAATGACAAGCAATACAAGCTGTAGTGTGCGATGCCAATGCTTATCTGCCTAGTACCAGGTCAGGACCTGGGACAAGAGCAAGCTGGGAGAACACGCATGTTTCCGACACGGTTCTCTTAGTAGATGCTGGGAGCCTTTTCCTTACAGCACCCTGCTGAGCCCTCAGAGCAGCCTCTAGGTGTCACCTCCTCTACCCCATTTGTGTGACAAGGACCCAGGACTCCCCAGTTCCCTCACAGATCCTTTCTTTAGAAGACATCCTCTTACAAAGAGCAGGAGGGCAGCGGATCTTGGGAATCAGGGTGGGATAGGCTGTGACTGCCGTCATGGAGGTGGGGAAGGAAGTCTAGTTGGGCATGAGTGCTAGGGGACAGTTTCAGGCAGGGGGGACTCCTGCTGGGAAGGAGAAAAGGACAGAACTTGGTCCATGGGCAAGGAGAAGAAAGAGTGGGCATTCTTCTTGGGTAACTGCCTGTTCCCCCTTCTCCCCACTAGCCCCAGGTGGAGGACAGAAGCTGACACAGCACAGGTTTGATGAATTTTCTTACATTTAATCAGGCAATGTTACAAAGTGTTCATGCCACACGAAACCTCATGATACCCGGTGTGAGGGCACCTGTCAGGGGGTAAACACAATCTCTCTCCCTTCTGGAGGTGGGCAACCTGAGAGCCAAGGCAGTGCCCACTCACCTGGCCTCCTGCTACCTGGTGGGCGGCAGTCACTGGCCAGCAGGATTCCAAGTCCTGGACATAGACATGGCTCCCCTCAGGCTTTCCCTTGAACTGCACCTGAACCTCGCGGGTGGGTGGGGTTTTGCAGCTACAGCACCCTATGGCTGGCCCAGGTCTCCAAGGCCACTGCTCAGGCAAGTAGATCTTGTTCTCAAGAGGCTCAGGAAGCAAGGGAACAGAAGAAAAAACACCCCTGAGTGTCCACATGCTAATTGCTGTGAGGGACACAGGGGGGGAGAGAGGCTAAAAATCATCTGTCAGCTGAGAAAACCAGAGACACAGGTGCCGATGGACACCTGGAGGAAGCAACAGGGACCCAGGGCTCCCTGGCACCACCCACAGGGATCCCGGAGTCCTGAGGGCTGAGGGCTGAGGGAGCCAAGGGGGCTGCAGGCAGGTCCAGCAGCCTGGGTGGGCTCGTCCTCAGCCATCTGCTTCCTCCTGGACCACAGCGCGTGGCAACGAACACACGGACTAGCAAACGAGGTGAACACAAGTACAGAGAGCCCCCACTGGAGGCCTGGGGCCAGTGGAGGCAGGAACCGCAGGACCTGGGAAGGGAGAGAAGACGAGCTCAGCGCCAGGAGGGCAGACCGCAGGACGGAGGTTGTGGGGGGGGTGGGAGTTGCTGAGGGCGTGGCCGGGACTGCGTGGGCTGCTGTGGCCCCCAGAGGCTCAGGCTGGCAAAGCATGAAGGGGGGTGGGGTGGCTGGGTCGGAAGACCTAGATTTGAAACCTGGCTCTGCCACCAGAAGTCACTGTAGTGCTTCAAACTGGTCGTGTAACCTCTGACGTCTAAAAGGCCCAGCTCGGCTGATGGGACCATCAAGTCACACAGGCCGTTTAATACAGTGATGTCTATAAAAGTGTCAGCTGTGACCTGTGCAGCCCTGTTCAGATGAGTGTGAAGCAAAAATTTACCAGAGGGCTCTGACTCTCTAGGTGGCAAAGGAAAGCCTGGGGTGGGGGGGGGGCCTCCAGAAGCCTGGCCCAACCCTGGGACCCTCTGGGCAATAGGTGGGGAGGGGTCCACTAAGCCCTCAAGGATGCTCACCATGTCATTCAGGGGCCGGCAGCTGTTCCAGGAGCATGTCCTCTACCCTGTTGTACTGAGGGTGGGGACGCAGGAAAGGAGAGAGACAAAGAGTGATCAGACCAGTGCCCTGCCAACTCTCCCTCCATCCTGCCTAGGCTTTCTAGTGGCCTGAGCAGCAGATGGGACCTGGGTGGCCCAGGTCTTCCCCTTCAGGCTTGGCCTGCGACTGTTGGCCAAAGAGCGTCTCCCTGGGGACCTGAGAGGACAACCAGTCTTCCAGTTGTAACTACTTTCTGATCCAGCCCGTTGCCACCCACAGTTGTTAATCCCCTCCATTATTTTAACTTTGGTGCTTGGACAGGGAACACAGAACACAGAGGCCAACATGGGGTGGGAGCAGGGCCGCCCAAGGTCCCCCACTCTGTCCCCGGGGGAGACCTGTGCTTGCCTCGATGTGGTACACTATGCGCCAGAGGCTGGAGTCTGAGCCTCGGTATCTTCTTTCAGGGTACAGCTGATACAACACAGGCAGGAGGCTCGGAGTCATCTCACTGGGACTCAGAGGGCTTTCCAAGGGGTAGTCTTCCTGGCGCATGAGCACCTGGAGGCTACCCTCCATCTGCAGAGGAAAAAGTAGGGAACACTTTCAGGTCCTGCTCACCAGCTCCTCCAGGACACCCAGAAGCCCTGGCCTGGACTTACAGGGGCCCAGCATTAGAGGCTGGTGGTCACTGCTCCCAACACTCAGCTCCGGCCACATATGCTCTTCTCAGGGACTCTGGTGGCCAGCAGTCTAGCCAGCCAGGCAGGCCGTAAAAGCACACTTTTTCCTGCCAAGCTGCCAGTGGCTAGGCTAGACCCGGGGGCCCTTCTGCCTGGAGCCCTTTCAGCCATCATGGGATTTTTTTTCCTTTCATTTTAAACATTTTGTCCAAGCTCCTCTTCTAAACACAGTATCTCAGCTCCCCAGTCTGGTGACAGACCAACCTCACTCCCTACCTACCACTGTCTCCTGCCTGGACTGTGGTGACAACTTCCTGACTTGCCGTGGCCTGTGCCCGCTCTCTGCCCAGCACCTCCCAGCACAGGCAGAACAATTCCGAAAGTCCCAAAGGCCCATGCAGCCAGGCCCCTGCTGCTCTGCCCTGTTAGCCACCTTCCACGTCACTCCGGCCACACAGGCTCCTGGCTTTTCTGGGACCTGCACCATTCTGCCTGCTTCTAGAAACCCTCTGCATCTACTGCCTTCCTTGCTTGGAACATTCTCCCCAAAGCTACACGGGACTTGCACCCTTCTTTTAGGGGTCTCTACTCAAATGCATGTCTGTTAAAATATAACAAAGCAATGTGACAGAGTGGAGACGAAACCCGCTGGTTTTATCAATAACTGCACATCAGCTTCATTCACCAACTCAAGGACAAAAATATCCACAAAGCCCAACCCTAGGGACTCTCAGCCTCTAGGCCCATTTTTCTCCTGCACAACTTAGTACCAGCTTTATTATTTTGATACAGTGGGTTTCTGTCACCTTTACTGCAAATCCTCAAGCCCAGAACTGGTACTTGGCATATTATCTAGGCACTCACATTTGTTCAGCCAGTATTTCTCCACAGTGAAAATAGTTCTATAAAATTGTTACAAATCAGTCAAAAAAAAAAAATATTTGGATCACAGTGCAAGGTGTCGGTGCCCTGAAAATCACCATTCTTGTGTTTATAGTCTTTTATATCCTTTAACTATTTTCACTTTGTATTATTCCTCCTTTTTATTAAGAAAATCCTTCCATATTACAGATACTGGTTCTTGGATTTACGCAAGTCAGATCCTGCCCCAATGTGTGAGGATGTGTTATTTTTCAGGTAGCATTTATCGTGATTGTGAAAAACTGTCTGGTTTGTGGTTTTGGTGAGAAGATGTTCCCCAACTAGAGATTAAAAAAAGATATTTGCCTAAATTATTTTTCAAATACTTGACTTAAAACAAAGAAAATATTTGATTTTGGAAAAGGTCTATATATGTATATTTAGAAATTTTTTGGGGGGTTGGGGGGTGGTACCAGGATTAAATTCAGGGGCACTCCACCACTGAGCCACATCCCCAGTTCCATTTTGTATTTTATTTAAAGACAGGGTCTCACTGAGTTGCTTAGCGCCTTGGTTTTGCTGAGGCTGGCTTTGAACTCTTGATGCTCCTGCCTCAGCCTCTGGAGCAACTGGGCCTGGCTATACTTAGAAATTTTAAAGAACAATAAAATTGCAAATTTAGGTGGTAGTAAAGAGCCTGTTGCAACCTTATCTTACCTGCTAGCAGCACTACCTTGGACAGGTTTACATGTTTAAGCCTCAGATTCTCATTAGCAAATTAGAGACATAGTTAACCCTCAATAGCCTTTTCCTGTATACTATATTACATGCATGTTCTAAGGTTTATGTATGGAGTTGCTAACAATTTTTGCTTCTATTTCTTTGAGCAAATCCAACCTCTGATGGATAGTACCTTTTTTTTTAAAAAAAATAAAAGAGTTATATTTCTTACAAAGACCTGTTAACACTAAAGAGTAATCTTAAGGGCTCACACATAAAACAAAGTCAAAGTTTGATACTGCTGTTGCCTGCTAAGTTTATCTGTTCCAAAGCTTCCAGGGGGTACAAAAACTCTGCAGTTCAGGGCACAGCTTCTCACACTAGTTTATAGCTATCTACTGAATGTGCTTTTTAAAATACAGATTTCTGGGGCCCACCTAAGCAGACTCTGGTAAGTGACCCATGCACTAATCACTTCCTTTAAAGATATTCCCATTTTATATAAACTAGGACCTTGAAGCCCTGAAGAGTCCTCTTTTGCTCAACATCATGCATGCTCCGAGACAATAGGTCCCCATCCTTGGCCAACATGCCCTAGCAGTTTTCCCAGCCTCCTGGAAGCACTCTTTTCCATCCTACAGAGCCCAGTTCTAAAAAGTTTCAGCTGGGGCCGCCCTGGACCGACCAGCCTTCTAAGTCTTCCGGCGGGGCCTTCACCATGCGGGACAGGAGAGGCTCCTCTGGGCCCGAGGAACTCGAGGGCTGGGCCCGAGGCTCACTTGCAGGCAGGGCCCGCCCAGGGCTCACGAGGCTGTACCTTGATGATGATGGGCAACCAGGTTCGGTAGGTCTCGTCCACATACAAGAGCATGTTCCACCTCCACAGGCGGTCGGGGTCCGGGGGGTAATCCGGCTCGAATAGGAACCCTTCCATGACACCTTTTCTGGCCCTGCAAGAGACGGGAGCGGAGCCAGGTGCCGCTGCCCGATAACGCGGGGCTGCGGGACTGCTGGGCTTTATAGTCTCCAGCGCGGGCGCCCCCTGGCTGCGGGGCGGGAGGAGGCGGGGCTCGGGCTCGAGGCGGGTGGGCGGGGATAGGGGCGGGGCGCGAAGCCTTGCTCTCTGCAATCCTGGTGGCATCTAGGAGTGCAGGCCCGGTCCCATCAGGCCCCGGGGCTTCCCCAAGGCTCCCACCCGGCCTTGCCCTCTGGGCACTACCCACTGCTGGGGCCCTGGGGCTTTGGCTCGGAACTCAACTGTGCACTGGGAAAGCAATCCAGAGCCTGGGGGCTCCCTCCACATTTGGGGGTTTAGAAGAAACCCACAGGAGCCTGAACCAGGCCTGGGTTTTCCCAGGTTCACTAAATCACCTTCAGCCTGAGCTTTTGTGTGGCACAATCAGTTTCCTTGGCAAACTGCAACTCCGGAAGCACACCCCGCCCTAAGACATGCCTTTTCCATGGCTTTGAGGATGCTGTGGTCATCTATTAGCTATTGCAAAACTTGGTGTGGCGGACTGGGGGGGGGTTCCCTTTATGCTTTGAGTTCATTAGTGAACGCATCATTTAAGATGAATACTTAAAAAAAGAAACCCCTGTCTCCACCCCAAGATCAATGGATTTGAAAAGTCCCTAGGTTATATGATTCAAACCATCTCTTTGTAAATTACAACAAATAAGGAAAACAATTTCACTTTATTTTGCAAAAGTAACACATGCCCATTAAGACAATTAAGTAAGTAAAGCATAATGAAAAACATGTAAGATCGGCTCCAGGCTTGTTGCTCAAACATCACTGCTGGTAGCAGTTTGGTGCCTCATCTTCTAGCTCTTTGCTCTCTGAAGAGGTACTGAGAAAACTATTAGTGATCTTTGAAATGCCACTCAAGTGAAAATAAGTGATCAGGAAGGGGCATGTGCTCCACCTGGCAGGTGAGTTTCTGCTTCTGCGCTTATCCAGACAGCCCAGTTCCCGGGGTTGGCAGAAGCTGAGGTAGCTCAAGGTCAGAGAGGTATACTTAGATTAACCAGGAGCACAAGTAGAAGACAACAGCAAAGCCAAGCTTGGAGGCCGAGCAGCTGTGAGCCCAGCAACCATCTTTGCTCGAGCAGCTCTAAGTGATGTGAGTATATAATGTTCAGACTTGAGGTTTTCAGGCCGATTTCCCTGTGGATGGCTTTTTGACTCCAGTCCCACATAGCCACACAACGAGATGAAAACCTCAGGAATAAGCTCTGTCAGGGAAGTCTGAGCCAAGTCCAAAGCTTTGAAGTCAGAAATGTTAAATCCAGTTTAAAGGCCTCCGGGATGGCCTTTTGTGGCATGGAAAGGGGGTCCCCTAGGAACCAGGGTAGCCACTGATCCAGCCACAGCCACGGCCCCAGGACTCAGAATGCTACTGAATTTGTCCATTTTGTTCATACCCACTCTGCTTTTCTAAGAGGCCATAAAGAAATGAATAATGGGCCAAGAATCAGATCCACTTGGTTGGGTGAGTTTCTGAATGTTCTGGGAAAATGACTCCTTTTTTCCCCCCACTTTGAAAAAGAATGTTTCTTTAATTTTGCACAAGGGCTTCTTAATATGGAGCAAGAGTATGTACCATTCTCGTGTGGGATTTAGAAACTTACTTGAGAAAGGGTTCCAAACAATGAAATGAAATAAGGATGATTGAGGCCTTTTGGGCAGCTGCTGTGGGGGCCTTGGCCCTTCTTCATGGAAATTCTACCAGAGGAAACAACTGCTTTGGTGTGGCCTAGTAGACAGGGAGCCTCCCAGCATGGTATCTGCCTGTCTTAGAGCTCCAATGTCAGTCTTTTGAACTTTCTGTTCCCTTCTGACTCTTTCCTTATTAGTCTGAGGGTCCCCTGAGAATATGGAAGTAGATGTTTAAACGAATTATTTTCCCTAGCTAAAGCTCTCAGTCCTGCCTTAGGCCGCCTAGTTTTGACTTGACCACTATCGCCTGTCAGCTTGGAAGATCCTTTGCCAGCTCGGCCTCAGTGCCCCACTTTTGAAATGAATGGGCCAGGTTCTGTGTGTCCATTTCTGTCTCAGTAGTCTCTGATCTTTCAACAGAGTGGCTCAGGGAGGAGGGATTCGATAAAACGTGGAAGCTTGTGAAGTTAGTTCAGGAAAGACTATACAGGACTGAGGGCTCTGGATATCAAGGACCCCTGCAAAATTCACTCTTCTGGAGTGAGAAAGCCATCCTTCTTGTTTGGGTTCCCAAGAAGGGGGTGAAGTATGAGTCACCGTCAGCAGAATGATCTACAGCCTGGGCATACCAAGGGTGGACCCTGGAGCTTCCACAGCATCACCTGGAGCTCATGAGGACTGCAGAATCCCAGCCTCCCCAGGCCTCCTGAATTGGAATCTGCATCATAACAGGACCA